AGGACCAGCATCAATAAGGCGTGGATTTTTAAAAGAATTTTCTCAAGGACCAGCATCAATAAGGCGTATTTTTAAAAGAATATTTTCTCAAGGAGGACCAGCATCAATAAGGCGTGGATTTTTAAAAGAATATTTTTCTCAAGGACCAGCATCAATAAGGCGTGGATTTTTAAAAGAATATTTTTCTATGGACCAATAAGGCGTGGATTTTTAAAAGAATATTTTTTCAAGGACCAGCATCAATAAGGCGTGGATTTTTAAAAGAATATTTTCTCAAGGACCAGCATCAATAAGGCGTGGATTTTTAAAAGAATATTTTCTCAAGGACCAGCATCAATAAGGCGTGGATTTTTAAAAGAATATTTTCTCAAGGACCAGCATCAATAAGGCGTGGATTTTTAAAAGATTATTTTTTTAAAGGACCAGCATCAATAAGGCGTGGATTTTTAAAAGAATATTTTCTCAAGGACCAGCATCAATAAGGCGTGGATTTTTAAAAGAATATTTTTTTAAAGGACCTTCAGTAGTGTTTAAAGGACCAGCATCAATAAGGCGTGGATTTTTAAAAGAATATTTTTTTAAAGGACCAGCATCAATAAGGCGTGGATTTTTAAAAGAATATTTTTTTAAAGGACCAGCATCAATAAGGCGTGGATTTTTTAAAGAATATTTTTTTAAAGGACCAGCTTGAATAAGGCGTGGATTTTTTAAAGAATATTTTTTTAAAGGACCAGCTTGAATAAGGCGTGGATTTTTTAAAGAATATTTTTTTAAAGGACCAGCATCAATAAGGCGTGGATTTTTAAAAGAATATTTTTTTAAAGGACCAGCATCAATAAGGCGTGGATTTTTAAAAGAATATTTTTTTAAAGGACCAGCATCAATAAGGCGTGGATTTTTAAAAGAATATTTTTTTAAATCAATAAAGCGTGGATTTTTAAAAGAATATTTTTTTAAAGGACCAGCATCAATAAAGCGTGGATTTTTAAAAGAATATTTTTTTATTTTTTTAAAGAATATTTTTTTAAAGGACCAATCAATAAGGCGTGGATTTTTAAAAGAATATTTTTTTAAAAGACCAGCTTGAATAGGGCGGGGATTTTTAAAAGAATATTTTTCTATGGACCAGCATCAATAAGGCGTGGATTTTTAAAAGAATATTTTTTTAAAGGACCAGCATCAATAAGGCGTGGATTTTTAAAAGAATATTTTTTTAAAGGACCAGCATCAATAAGGCGTGGATTTTTAAAAGAATATTTTTTTAAAGGACCAGCATCAATAAGGCGTGGATTTTTAAAAGAATATTTTTTTAAAGGACCAGCATCAATAAGGCGTGGATTTTTAAAAGAATATTTTTTTAAAGGACCAGCATCAATAAGGCGTGGATTTTTAAAAGAATATTTTTTTAAAGGACCAGCATCAATAAGGCGTGGATTTTTAAAAGAATATTTTTTTAAAGGACCAGCATCAAAAGGACCAGCATCAATAAGGCGTGGATTTTTAAAAGAATATTTTTTTAAAGGACCAGCATCAATAAGGCGTGGATTTTTAAAAGAATATTTTTTTAAAGGACCAGCATCAATAAGGCGTGGATTTTTAAAAGAATATTTTTTTAAAGGACCAGCATCAATAAGGCGTGGATTTTTAAAAGAATATTTTTTTAAAGGACCAGCATCAATAAGGCGTGGATTTTTAAAAGAATATTTTTTTAAAGGACCAGCATCAATAAGGCGTGGATTTTTAAAAGAATATTTTTTTAAAGGACCAGCATCAATAAGGCGTGGATTTTTAAAAGAATATTTTTTTAAAGGACCAGCATCAATAAGGCGTGGATTTTTAAAAGAATATTTTTTCTATGGACCAGCATCAATAAGGCGTGGATTTTTAAAAGAATATTTTTTTAAAGGACCAGCATCAATGGAAAAAGAATATTTTTTCCAAAGGACGTGGCGTGGATTTTTAAAAGAATATTTTTTCAAGGACCAGCATCAATAAGGCGTGGATTTTTAAAAGAATATTTTTCTCAAGGACCAGCATCAATAAGGCGTGGATTTTTAAAAGAATATTTTCTCAAGGACCAGCATCAATAAGGCGTGGATTTTTAAAAGAATATTTTTTCAAGGACCAGCATCAATAAGGCGTGGATTTTTAAAAGAATATTTTTTCAAGGACCAGCATCAATAAGGCGTGGATTTTTAAAAGAATATTTTTTTAAAGGACCAGCATCAATAAGGCGTGGATTTTTAAAAGAATATTTTTTTAAAGGACCAGCATCAATAAGGCGTGGATTTTTAAAAGAATATTTTTTTAAAGGACCAGCATCAATAAGGCGTGGATTTTTAAAACAATATTTTTTCTATGGACGAGCATCAATAAGGCGTGGATTTTTAATAGAATATTTTCCCAAGGACCAGCATCAACAAGGCGTGGATTTTTAAAAGAATATTTTCTCAAGGACCAGCATCAATAAGGCGTGGATTTTTAAAAGTTTATTTTTATAAAGGACCAGCATCAATAAGGCGTGGACTTTTAAAAGAATATTTTTCTCAAGGACCAGCATCAATAAGGCGTGGATTTTTAAAAGAATATTTTTCTCAAGGACCAGCATCAATAAGGCGTGGATTTTTAAAAGAATATTTTCTCAAGGACCAGCATCAATAAGGCGTGGATTTTTAAAAGAATATTTTTCTCAAGGACCAGCATCAATAAGGCGTGGATTTTTAAAAGAATATTTTTCTCAAGGACCAGCATCAATAAGGCGTGGATTTTTAAAAGAATATTTTCTCAAGGACCAGCATCAATAAGGCGTGGATTTTTAAAAGAATATTTTTTTAAAGGACCAGCATCAATAAGGCGTGGATTTTTAAAAGAATATTTTATCAAGGACCAGCATCAATAAGGCGTGGATTTTTAAAAGAATATTTTTTCTATGGACCAGCATCAATACATCCTATTAAAATTAAATATATAATAATTTTATATATATACAATAAGACTTCAACTGTATGTATTGACGTGGATTTTTAAATAACGATTAATTTCCAGTTTATTTTTGCTAACCTCTCGAATGACCGGGATTTCGACACGACTAAAGGAGAGAAGGCGAATATAAAATATGAATTTTGGATTTAAAAAAAATATAGTCTAATATATACCGACACAAAAAAATTATACAAACACATAAACAGAGACACAATTATAATTTTCAAATCCGAACATCCATACCAAGGGCTTCTCAGGACACAAGTTTTCTTGATGTTACTTGGAGATCCTTCACGACATGACTTGAAATCGATGGAGTTTTGAAGACAATTTTGGACATATATGTAAGCTATATACAATGGAGATTATTTAATCTAGGCTAACAACCACACACACACACACATATGTATAGCAAATAACCAGTAACCCAGCAAACAATTTTACAAATGAGTTATTTTTTTTATAAAAAATAAAACTTTATTGATAATTTATGTCACAAATACATACATATAAATACATTTACATATATAGTATACATATATAAAATAATACATTTACATATATAGTATACATATATAAAATGAAAGCATATAAATGTTTTGCATAAAAAATGGTATAAATATAAATGCATATCTAAAGACTGCAGTCGAACAGGGTTATAATGAAAAACAAGTGGATCAGGGAATTCCCAGGGAAATTTTGTGACAATAAATTTTGGTTCTTGGAAATACATAATAACCCTGTTTTACTGTGTGGGTTTTTTATGGTGGGAGTAATTTTGTCTATGGTAAACGATTTTCCAAATTATTTTTATTTTTAATTTATTTTTTCTGAATTCAAAAAAAAAATTGTTCTTTTGGCTTGCCATAGAATGAGGATATTTCGGAATGCATGTGAGATTAAGGCAAATATATTATTTTCTTTTTGGTTTACAACTTAAAAACTATTATTATTTATTTTTTTTTTTTTTTTTGTATACAAATATATTGTTTTGTTTCATTAAATATATAACACCGATATTATGAGAATTCTTCTTTTTTTCTTTATCATCACCCACTGAGACATTTGAAAGACACATCAAAATAGAAGCAAATATATATTCAGAAAAAAAAAACAAATTTACGTTCTGAAAATGGAAATGGTATCCATCAAGAAGACAGCACCATTGATGATCATCAATGAACCGGCAGCCAAGGCATTACGTTTGCTTTCCTTGAACAAGAGATCGGATCTATCGTGCCATTGATCAATGATCAGGGCGCCAGAGATGACAAACAGGACACAGCCAATGATGGAGAACAAACCGTTCAGACGTTTCTCAACCACTGAGTTAATGACATGACCTATTTTTTGGAGAGAGGAAGAGAGAGAGAGAAGAGTGTAACATTATTTGATTCGGAAATTTGATCTGAATTTTATATTACCAATCAAAATGACAGCACAGATTACAGCATAACCACCCATGGTACCGCACACAATCAATGCATTGCTGGAGAAATTACCACTTGTCTCCCAGAGAACAATGCAAACGACGGCAATTACCTAAAAGAGAGAGAGAGGGAGACAGAGAGATATACAAATTAGTAAATAATCAATAGTAGAGATATGTAAGTCGATTTTCGACTAATCGATTTTTCGTAATGAAAAGACTAAAATTCTAAGTCATGTTTTTATTATGAAGAAAGGAATCGGACGAATATGTATATATCAAGGGACCTCTATATATCTCAGTACTAATTTCAACAAAACCTTGCATACGGTGACGTGCAGATATGAGTACATAATTATATTTCTTTTAATTTCTGAAGGAATACGATAAGAAATAATAAAGAATCTTAAAATGATTGTATTTTTCCTTCAAACCTTGTTCTATTCTACATAAAAACAACAAAAATCTCAAAGCAAAAAGCAAAGAATTCAGAGAGATATATGAACAGAACAAAAATAACTCGCATGTGCTCAATTTTTCACTTTTCAATACCGATGTCATTTGAAGCATTTTTTTAGAACGTGGTCCTTAACCCTTTATTTCTTTGGACTAATTCCTGCATAATTTCATTTGTTCCACAGGTCTTCTAATTTTGATGGAGCTGATTGGTGCAACCTCAGCTGCCTCTCCACGATTGACCATTAATACGCAATCGGGTTGAGGTCGGACTTTGCGCTGGCCAATTTATCACATGAAAATTTTGCACAGTCATGCTTTTATTTTTTTTTTAACTATGCTTCGGATCACCATCCTATTGAAATACAACTGCATCTTCAGGATAGGCCCTCATGTCAACAAACTCGGGAAGATGAGTCTGCAAAATGGCAAGGTAGTATTCCTTGAAAATTTTGCACACAGTCATGATTTTACTATTTTTGCACTATGCTTCGGATCACGATCCTATTGAATTATGATTTCATCTTCAGGATATACACTCATGTCAACAAACTCGGGAAGATGAGTCTGTCATGTTTTTACTATTTTTGCACTATGCTTCGGATCACGATCCTATTGAATTATGACTTCATCTTCAGGATATACACTCATGTCAACAAACTCGGGAAGATGAGTCTGCAAAATGCCAAGGTAGTATTCCTTCTTCATTTTATTACTTAACTTGGTGGCGTAGAATGGTATCACCAGAACGACGGTAAACAGTAGTGTTGGATTGGAAACGGTTAAATTTTGATTCGTCTGACCAGATAACACGTTTCTAGTCGGCTGTCGTCTAATTTTTATGCTCTCTTGCAAACTTCATTCCCGCCTTATGGCAATCCATTCGCTAACTTGCTTATTTTTGGCAACAGAGTATTTTTCGGCGTTAAGGACTTGTTCTGCTTTATTTCTGACATCATAAGCGAACGTTTGCCTCGGTCAACAGTTTCTTCTTGGGCATTTCAATTTGATCGTGATTTCGGCTACGTGATTTCAACGTCAATTCTTCTTTTGTTTCTAACGTCTGATAGGGAGGTTTTTCATCATCTACTAACGAATATGTGATCTATTTGATTGTGAGTATTACCGCTCGGTGATGTCCATGATGAAGACTAGCTGGAATGCGGCACACAGTTCTATGAGTCGCTCAACCTGCTTGTTTTTAACTCCACATCCATGTTCTGCCATTGTTGAACGGGCTTTGGTATTCACGTTTCCTATTTTAGCATTAAAGTCACCTATGTGACGATGTCTTCGCTCCAAATTTCATTAAGGTTCGAAATTCATTAAGGGTTGAGTTGAATTCATCTTCCACAGTATCGTCAGCGGCTCTGGTTAGCTCATGATCAATGTAAATTCCTCTTTTGTTTCCGATGCCTGACATGGAGCTTTTCAATCTTCTACTAACGCATATGTTATCTATTTGATTGCGAATATTGTCGCTCAGTTATGTCCATGTGTATATATGTGCGGGAAAAATCGAAATTCATGAACGTTTGAATTGGGTTAGGAGCAAAGCAACGTGCCATTATCACGCGGTCAGATATTGGTATCGATGTCACCAAAGATTTCTTAGTGTGCATCGGCATTATGATTTCAACACCGATTTTCTCTTCCACTGTATATTATAAAGTTACTATTTTCTGTGGAACGTTCAACGCTTTTAACTGTCTCAATTCGTATATACCTAAGGATTCGACCTTGTACAATATGTAATCCATTTGTATGCGAGTATTAACGTTCGGTATATCCTTGTGAATTTATGAATCTTCTTGTGGGAGAAAATGAAGACTCCAACGATCAGCAGGAATGTGAGACACACTTCTATGAGTCGCTCACCCTGATTGTTTTAACTCCACATCCATGCTTTGCCATTGTTGAACGGGCTTTGGTGTTCGCGTTCCCTATTTTCGCGTTAAAGTCAACCATGAGAAACACGATGTCTCCTCACCGAAGTTCATTAAGGGTAAATGTTTATTGTGCATAGAATTCATCTTTCACAGTATCTTTAGCACATTCCGTAGGACATTAGCACTGTGCTATGGTGACGTATATTCATTACTCCTAAATCGAGCCATTATTACACGGCCAGATAATGATCTTCAACGACTTCTTAGCGTTCTTCGACATTATGATCCCAATTCCGCTTTCATCGCATTTTCTTTTCTACTGTATAGTATATAGTTGCCATTTTCTGTGGGAAGTTTATCGCTTTTACTCGTTTCATTTCGCTTAAACCTAATACTTCGATCATATACGATGACATTTGCTAGTCTAACTGTACAAGCCTTAATGCTTCACGAGGATCACTCCCTGCAACTACTGTTCATAGGCTTCAAGAATGCTTTTGATACAATCAGACGAACTGTCATATCGAACGAATTGAGAAAAAAGGGAGTGTCCCAGAAAATGTCCGAATATTATGAGCTATATACGAGAAGGCATTCGATACCATCAGACAAACTGAGATATGGGAAGGAGTACCTCAGAAAATGATCCGAATAATAAGAGCAACCAATACAGAAATCATCATTCTACAAGGCTGATAGCTTCTCCATAAAGGATCCACAAATGACATTGCCGAAACAAACAATCCAATTTGGGGATCGAGTAATCCAAGAGTTGTTGTTGAGAATCCTCCCCATCTTCAACCCTTAAAGAGCAGAGTTGAGTCGATCCGGAACCAACTAGTTATAAGGAACTATAGCGAGTCGAGTTCTTTCGTTCATCTAATTCATTGCACTATTTCTCTTTGATCCAATACGAATTTACTGACAATTGAACTAAAAGGAATTGTGGACCTAATTACATGAGCTAGTTTCTTAGGCAAAACAAGCCGAAGATGACCGATCCGCTTCAGGAACGAGATTGCAAAGCATGCAGGGAAATTCAGGCTCTCGTTGCGATATTTACCCTAATTATCTGATATTAATTTGTTCAATCATATTCCTGCTCGTATTCTCGTAGTATATCTCTCTTAGCTCCCTTTAGAGAAGAAGAGCGTTTTTCCACTAATCACAGTTTTTATTAGACGAAAACCAGATGTCGTTGCATTCGCCCATTGTACAATTTTCACATAAAAAAGTGATGCCAAATTTTATTTAAAAAATTTTCAGAGTTGATATTCTCCTTTTTTTATTTCTTCATATTTATTTCCATATTTTCTTAATGATATTTCAAAATACAAAATATATCAAATAAAAATACGGCACCATTCACTATGGCCATAGAACCCGCAATATTTAAATAATTTCGATTATCCCGTCTGTAATTCGGAGACCATTGATCTAGAATAACCGTTCCAGATGATACAAACAATATGACAGCGGCAAAATTTAATAGTATGGCAACACGTTTATCGAATACGGCATCCAAAAAATAACCTAAAAAACGGGAAATTTTGAAATAAATTCTAAAGTCACAAGATGTGTGTAGGGAAAATAGACTAATTACCAATTAACAAACACGTTCCGATAATTAAATAACCGCTTAAAGTTCCACACACCAACATTGCCTGACTGCTATAATTTAGATCCCCAACACACTCAATCAAGATAATACAAATTGTGGTGAATGACTGGGAATAAAAAAATTGAAATTATTTTGAGTGGGATTGAGGATAAATTATCCCCAGAAAATATATAAGGGACTTACATGGACAATGGACTATAGGCGAGATTCATTACGAACACAATAAAAGTTGGACAGAGAGAGAAAGAGGACATTTTCAAGAAAAAACATTCAGAGAGAAATCAAATTGGAAATATATTACGATGGAGGCTAGATAGAAATCATAATATGCCGTAAGAGATTGGATTCACATGAAAAATAATGTAAATAATCAAAAATTGGCTGGGTTTTAGCAAAGTATTCCAAAAAAGGAAAAAATAGTGAAGAAACATTTAAACGATTTTTTTAGATGCGAAATGAAGATCTGTAATTGAAGCACTGAAAACCAGTCTTTTTTGGCACAGCAAAACCTTCTTCCAGGAAAAAGGAATTTTTTAACCTACAAACGTACAAAATTTCGAATAGTATTGACAAACTTCCAAACTGCTTAAAACAGCTTGATTTTGTTTTTCAATCTTATTTTCTATTAAAAATTCTCCCTGACGTCTTCCTTTTTTCGTCTACCTACTCAGACGTTATGTTTACATTATAAAAACAATAACACCCACTTCTTGTCACTGAACTTCAGCGTTACGTATATTTCACCAAGTGTACCCATACCCCATCCAGCCATTGCCCACCTTATTTACTCTTGAAAATATTCAGCGATAAGCTTCAAGTGTCATTTGAAAGAAAAAAAAACTATTCCCCCGTTGATTCCTGACCAACGATTTCCAAGCCTTCTCTACTATAACAACCAACAATAAATTTTAACTGATTGTCACTTTGTGATTTTTTCTGAAAAGGTTGTCTAATTCCCCATAAGTCACAGACACTTCACATGGCGAAATTGTTAAAAAGGTATTTTATCTGTTTTTAACACTTTTAAGTCCCTGGGGAATTAGTAACAAGAGAACTGCTATATATGACAATTGCAAATGTTTTGCCGAAAACAAAGTTATTAGTAATTTATATAAGTGATTTGAGGCGTGACAATTAAATTCCACCT